GATCATGAAACTTCCAAAACTCTTATTAAAACCATGTTGTTCAAAGATGTGAATTATCTGGAAGAACTGATTCAGCATTATTGGCTCAGTTTGAGATGGAGTGCCCGTTTGGAGGAAAGTGCTGAGATATGTTGTTGCCACAGTGAAACTACTCTCTTCTTTGGGACTCTAAGAGGACATGATGAATTATCAATGTCAAATCATAATTTTTTTAACCTGCCTTGAATATCTTAGTGAATTTGACAATTTTCTCAATGAATATTTGAAAAATGATCAGTGTTGTGCCTCAAGGAAGACCAACTTTTTAACGTACCAACCCTACAATGAATTCATTACTATAATGGCAGAGCAGCTCAGAAACCAATTCATTGATGAAATAAAAGATGCCAAGTGCTATTCCATAATTGTCAATTGAACACCAGATGTGAGTCATATAGACCAATTAAGACTAATTTTATGATATGAGAACAGCAATTATGAGGTTGTAGAGCAATTTCTTTGTTTTATTCCACTAAAATCTCACACTTCTGAATTTCTAGAGACAATGGTTTTGGAAAACATTGCAAATTTAGATTTGGACCTCAAATATTGCTGTGGGCAGAGCTTTGATAATGTTACAAATTTGGCAGGAAAATATTCAAGCAAGACTGAACAATGCAAACCCCTCTGCTTTTTTCATATCATGTTCCAGCCATTCCTTACATTTAATCTGCAATGCTGCAGCTGCATCTTGTGAGGGAGCTACACTTTTTTTGACTTTGTTCAAAACATGTATGCTTTTTTTCGATTTCCACACATTGGTGGAGTATGCTACAATCATGCTTAGAGCAAGCAAACTGAAAATATTTGACAGTCAAAAGAATTTGTGACACCACGTGATCTGCTGTTTTGGCTTTGAGTGAGTGCTGATGTTATAAAAAGAATATTTTTAGACATAGCCACATCAAATTCTGAAAAATCATGTGCAAAAACTGAAGCAAAATCCTTAGCAGAAAAGTCTGATATGATTTTACTATTCTGTGGAGTTGTTTACTTCAAAGAATTACTGCAGTCAGCAAATCACTGCAAAAAGTTGATCTAAATGTATTGAACGCTGCACAATTGTTAGCCTCAGTTACGAGTTTTGTCATGGAAGTCTGAAATGACTACAGGTCTGTGGAAGCAGAGGCATTAACATTAACAGAAAATGTAGGTTCCTCTCACATATCTGATCAGAAGCATAAAAAACACAGGAAGTTTTCTTTTTGATTAAACTAGAGAGATCATCACTGAGACCATCAATGTTACCTGTGATGCAATAATAGTGCAATTTCAGAATAGAGGTGAATCTCTACAGAAAACTGTAGATTTATTTTGCATATTTTGACAGAAGCATGGATGAAGAAGCTAAAAGTCACTACAGTAAGAAATTAAGTGAATTCTACTGAGAAGACAGACACAAATCTTTTTGAAGATGAAGTGAAACATTTCATTTATTTTATTGAAAACGGTGAAGTCTGTGCTTTGACATCACCAGTGGATTTGTATAGACTTATATGTGACGGTTTGCAGGCAAACTTTCCAAATGTAGAAACCATTCTGAAAATATTTTTAATATCTGTTGCAAATGCTTCTGGTGAACGTTCTTTTTCGGTATTGAAACTAGTTAAAAATTATTTGCAAATTATGAGTCAGAAAGATTTGATAAGTTCAGCAACATTGACAATCAAAAGTGCTTCTTTACAAAATACTATTTATGATGACTTAATTGACGATTTTGTAAAGAAAAAGTGTAGAAATAAACCTATCTGAATAAATATTTGTTTTCAAATTGAAAAAGTTTCTTCAGAGGAAGTTAACTTTTATTTTTCCGTTCATACATCATCTATACATTTTATTTTTACACATTTTTCACCTTAGCTTAATGCAAATACAAGCTTTCATGTAATCCAGAAGTTCTCAAACTGTGCTCCAAGAACTCCATTCAGGTGGACTGAGAAAAGGTTATGTTTTTTTTTAAAATAAAGAGCTCTTATCCAAAGCACTTTACAATAGTTAGCTAACGGTATAAACAATATTTGGAAAAAATCATGAAGTGGTCCGCCAAGACCCTCAGCAATTGTAAAGAGGTCTGTGAAAAAAAAGTGAGACTACAAGGTACCTTATTATTACTTATAATATAGGAGGAGGATGAAGGAAAAATGGGAGGGGCAGGAAGAGTGAATGTTCTTTCTCTTGGCTGGGTCCCCAAGAGGGCCCAAACAAATGAAGCCGAGCACAGAGCCCCACTAACTAAATCCACCACTGAATTGGTGCAGTCAAACCAAGAGACTGCCTCCATTTCATGGAAGCTCCTCAACCAGAGACTTAACAAGCCAGGAATTGATTCCATCACTGCTACAAGCCAGCTCTGTGAAGTTCGCAAGCACTGTGCTTATATGATTCCTTTAACCAATTTAAACTTGTTCTTTCTATAAATAAAACGTTAGATATTAGACACTAGAGGATTGACACCAGTGTGATTATCGGGTAAGGGCTGAGATATATATTGACTGGGACATGTGACTGCTCTTGTAGGCTCAGAAGAATCCTTTCGTTGATTTAAATAACCCTGCGTCAGTAAGTCTAGTGTTTTTGCTGGTGAAACAAAGACTGGACTAACTAAGACGACTGCTTTTCCGATTTCTTGTTAGCCAATGTGGTGAAACAGAAGCTGACTTTTCTTGATGGTCTAGCTTATGGGAAAATAGCCACCAGTTTGCGGGGCAGTGGGGGAATAAAGGAGAGGAGATCTGCCCTATTTCTCAGCAGTTTGTCCTGAATTTGGTATTCTTAGTTGTGACCAACTGAGGCATGGTGACAGCTTATTTTCTCTGCCCTGGCTGGGGGCCTGCGTCTATAAATAACTCACTAGTCCCACCTTCCTTTAGGGTTTAAGGCATAGACTGCTTATTTCAGACCCTCTGATATTACACAGTGATCTCAGGGATGTAGTAAGGTCATTGCACGACAAGAGAACATGCTCCACAGACTGGAACACTGACCTTTATCTGTCGGCTCTCCAGCAATGCACACTGTCTCAGCTGGAAATGGAATGGAACGGGGACAGATTAGTTGGAACAGGCTGCCAGAGCTGTGTTTGCAATACAAAGGGAAGTTTAAGGGAACCTTGAAAGACCATGTCTACCTCATGGCAGGGCTGAGTGTTGCAGGTTGCATCAGTAAAGATGCTAAAGGTATGCGCTTTCTGAGATCATTGTGGGAAATCCAGGGGTGTCATGCCAGCAGTCCCCAGACCTTAGGGTGGGGTCTGTGAAGGCAACAACATACAAGGAATGCTCGGGAAAGGACAAAGTCCTAGTAACATTTGCAAGTCTGTGATGGTCAGTGTGATGTAGGGTCCATCTTTGAGTGCAGGCCAGGTGTTGGAAGCTTCTGCTCTCTCCTCCTGAGCTTCTGCTCTCTCCTCCAAACACAAGTTTTCCTTTAGCACAGGGAAGATTTTAGACTGGGCCATGTTTTCACAGAGTTCTGTAGCAGGGATGGGATCGTGCTAGTATCACTGGCATGTTGGGGTGTCGTTGAATCATGGCAGAAGGCAGACTGCATTCTGGGGGTGACATGAACCTTAACTCTGCATTTTCTCCCTTCTTAGAACTGCAGGGACAGGACTCCTTACCCAGCGAGGTCACGTTCTCGTAGTTCTCCTGCATGACGGCTCTGTAGAGGGCTCTCTGAGCAGGGTCCAGCAGAGCCCACTCGGCCCTGGTGAAATACACAGCCACCTCCTCGAAGGTCACCGGCCTCTGAAAGAGCAAGAGCCCAACACTCAGCACCTGCTGCCCCACTAATCATGGGGGAGGAAGATCAAATAAATGGATACAAAGTCAGAGGTGCCCCACACTCAGCCTCCTCAGATCATCCAGCAGGCATTAGGGTGAGGGGACGTAACAGAGAGCCCCTGGTCCTTCCAGTAGATAGAGCTGGCAGGCAGTATTCCCTGTAAGCTGAACACTTGGGTGGCCACCCAGGAGAAATTCAAATGCCGCCCAGCTGATCAGCAGAGCATGCACACCCAGTAGCCTGTGTTTCTACTGGTGATGCACATATGCACGTCTTGTGCATATAACAAAATGTATTCCACACATATAAAGAAAATTCGAGAGCAAACACTTAGTGCCAGAGGCTGACTGAGAGAGGGAGCCCCCTCTTCTAGGTATCGCCTCACCCTCCCCGTTGTCGGAACCTGGATGTTAGTGGATGGGGCATCTTCTCGAAATCCCGCTGCTGGGTGCCTTCTTCATATGTCACAGCAACCTCTGCTTAGGGGTTTCATGCTCCAAGACGGGGACTCTGGGAAGTTTTCCCAGCGCAAGCCAGTTTGTTTCCTGTTCCACCAAACCCGCCCTCACACTTTCTCCCCCACCCTGTGCACTCCCTGCACCCTCCCAGCCACAGACCCCAGTCACTCCCTCTTCCAAAGTATAGGAACCCGCCAGCATTTCCTCAGCAGCCCTACCTGAGCCAGCTCTGCCACCGCCATTCCCCAGTCAGGGAGGAAGAACATGGACTGAAACGTGGATAGTGACAGAGAAAGAGCTGTGTTAGTCTGATCTTGGTAAAACAAACAACCCCCCCCCCCCCCAGTCATGCTGCACTTTACAGACTAACAAGATGGTTTATTAGGTGATGAGCTTTCGTGGGCCAGACACACTTCTTCTGGTTTTTTGTTTTGTTTGTTTGTTTGACTGAGAGCCTGTCAGGGTGAGAAGAGCTACTGAGGGTGGGGTCAGAACAGACCTCAGGTATTTCCCATCATGAGTCTCACCAGTGCTTTCTCCATAGAGCCCAGCCAGACTCCCACGCCGCAACCATGCTCAGTCACTGTAGTCATTGGGATCCCAAACTAGGGGCGTGCCCCCTTGGAGAGGGCGTGAAGAAATTCCAGGGGGGGGGGGCGAGGTGACCCAGCCACACACCCCTTCCCGTCAATCCCACCCCACGTTTTGCTGCTTTTTTGGGGGAGGGGCGGCTTGAGGGTTTCTCAAAAATAAAAAAGGGGGGCGTGATGCCGCAAAGTTTGGGAACCGCTGTAGTCAGACCCAGCCCAGCACCAGGACTAAGCCCATGGAGACCCTTGAAACCTGATGTAGCTCCTGAGCACAGCACCTTCCCTTAGCAGAGGGGGAACTGCAAACAGGTAAGGACCAGGCTCAACCTGTCCAGTGCTGCAACTGGAACTGGATCTGAGCAGATCTGGGAGCCTGGTTCCTCACTCCCCTCCTAGTTCTCTTTAGTTTCTCTGCCCCCTCCTGGCTCAGAGACTTGGCTAATGCCATTTTGGAACCACACACTGCCACCTCCCCATCTCTGCTGGCCATGAGAGGAGTGTCAGTGAATCTGGTTGTTATAAAGACAGCAGTGAAAGGGTTACTGGGCACAGCTTCTGTCTGCATGGTATTACAGCTGGGATTCCAAACCACGGGAAAGACAAACCCCCTCCTCCCAATCCAGAACCCTTTAGCTGAAGCAGTAACTCAGGCGTGCGATCATTTGGCAGCATGTGGCATATTCCACTGTCTGTGATGGCCAGTAGCCCAAGGCATCAATTTAGGACTCTGGGCTCCATCTCTATAGCTTTGGAATTAGTATTTCCCAGGATTGGTCCCGATCTGGTCTGGCAACACACTGCTGTGTAGACTTGTTCTATGTACAATGAAACACTCTCTTCCCATCCATAGCGACTGGTTAATCCAGGGCAGTGTTTCTCAGTCATCAGATGGGCTGTGAGATATTCAGAGATTCAATATGCTCATCAGCAAAATTGGATTCCCCTTTCGTGACACTCGGTATCACAAAGCAGCCCCCTGCAATCCCCATCACTGGAGATATTTAAGAGCAGGTTAGATAAACACCTGTCAGGGATGATCTAGGATGGTGCGTGGTCCTGCCATGGACTCGATGACCTCTCTAAGTCTCTTCCAGTTCTATGATTCTCTGAAATCTCCGCGGGGCCTATCAGAAACAGACGCGTACCTGTGTCACTCCCCAGCTCCAGTTGCAGTGTCTCTAGGGGAAGAAGAGAGGAGAAAACAGGTCCTCACATTCCTGGGGAAACCCCCTTGGTTTATTTGTGTAACTGCTTTAAACTAGGGGCACGTCTTCACTTGCCGCGCTGGAGATCGCTCCTCTGTCGTTCAATTTAGCAGGTCTAGTTAAGACCCATAAATGGAACGTTGAGGGCAGCTCTGGCTGCAACTTCTACTCCTTGCAGTCGCAAAGAGTAGGGGAAGCCTATGGGAGCATTTGCTACTATTAGCCTCCCTCTGCGAAGACAGCACCAAACTCGGATTAAGTTAAGCCGACTCCAGCTACAAGTTTTACTTATCTTAACCCGAACTTCCAGGTCTAAGGTAGACCCAGCCTAGGTGACGGTGACACTGATGGAGGCCGATAGCGCAGCTGCTGCAGCCAGCTCCAGTCCCACAGGGCCACTCACTGAGCAGGGGGTGAGAGATGGAGCCCGGGGTCAGTGACATCACTAGAGTCCCTGACTTCACCCCAGGGTCACTCTCGCCAGAGGAGACACTGCCCCCAGACTCTCATTCACCTCTGAATGCCAGCAGCACGTCCTGCAGGTGGGCACTTGCCAGAGGGAAATCGCTGAGTCTGCTCCAGCTCCACAAACCCCGGCTCCGGCTTGCGAGATGTTCCGTCCTCCCTGCAAAGGAAGAGGGGTGAGAAATGGGTCAGATCCCCAGTTCCTGAGCCCAGCAACCCCCAATCTCCAGGAAATCTGGATCTGAGCTTTGTTGCCTGAGATGGTCACTGTTATGGCAGGTCCCCTGCCAGCCATGGGCCCAGAGAGACAGGATGTTGGGAAACACCGGGGCCAGGAACAGACACACATTCTGCAGCTTTCTCTGTGACATTCTGGTTCTGTGGGGGAACTGAGACACCTCCCCCAATGGGACATTCCAGTCACAAGGGACATTGGCATTACATGGAAAGGTAGGAGAGAGACCAGACTGGGCACATCCCTCATACTCAGGCTGGACAAACACAGAATCCAAGACGTCAGCAGGGAAAGAATGTGGTCTCTAAACCCCCTCCTCCCAATCCAGAACCCTTTAGCTGAAGCAGTAACTCAGGCGTGCGATCATTTGGCAGCATGTGGCATATTCCACTGTCTGTGATGGTCAGTAGCCCAAGGCATCAATTTAGGACTCTGGGCCCCATCTCTATTCACAGCAGGCAACTTGCTGCCTGCAGTGGGACACCCAGGCATACAGAGCAAGGGAGATGCTGCCCTTTCTAGGGGAAATAATATAACATAGTAACTAAGATGTTAAGTCCTTTACTGTCACCATCAAAATCACTGCCTGGAAAAATAGCCCCATTTCCCCACACACTGTTATGGCCCTTGCAGTTTCTACCTTTTCTTTTTCTTCCTTTACCACTCTCATTCCTTTAGTTACCTCTTGCTTCCCTGCCTTTGCATCTCTCTTCTGCCCCCCTGCAGCAATCCCCAATTCCCACCCCTCCAAAGCATCCCTCCCACCCTCTCCTCAGTCCACCTGCTCAAGGAACCAGCCGTGGGACACCCAATGTTGGCCTCAAAGTGTCATCATTTTAGCAGGCGTGCCAATTAAAATATATATCTATAAAAAAAAGAATAAAAAGATTAACCATGTAAATGAGAAAAATTCTATCAGTTACACAGTTAACAACAGGGCTCCTACATGCCAGCCCTTCCCCAGGTTGCTGGTAGCTCCATGGAGAGTTTAACCAGTAATGGTAACCAATAAGCAGCAGCTTATTGGATAACCAGTTAACCAGTTAAACTCTTACACCCCTCGTGCCAATAGGATTAACAGAGGCCAAGGCCATTCATGCCTCTCTCCATTTCAAGCCATTTGCAGACTTGAAAACAACTGTATCTGTGTCCATCTGGGAGGCTGCTTTGTAACCAGGAGGGCTAGAAACTTACTTTTAAAACAGATGTGGGGAACCTAGGGCTCGAGGCCACATGCAGCCCCAGCTTGCCTGGATCCAGCCCCTGAGGCTCGGAGCTCCCCATTCCCAGCATCGGGGAGCCTGCCCCATGTCCCCCCACGCCACTCCTGTAGGGTTGAAGCATCAGTTCCCAGCTGTGGGGGAAAGCCCTAAGCCTGGCAGGTGGGAGTCAGGCAAGCTGCAGTGGCTCTGATCTGATCCACAGGCTGGGGAACTGGCAGTGCAGCAAAGCACTGCCCGGAGGCTTTTCCCCGCCAGACTGATTGGCCATAATCATAGCGAAAAGGAGCAGGACGGGCAGTACCTGGGAGTGACAGGGGACAAGAAGCGATGTGCGTCTCTGGGAAGCTGCGGAGGGAAGCATTGCCCCATCAGCCAGATCCCGCACCCTATCTCCTGTCCAAACACGTCCACTCCTGCACCCCCCACCACTCAAATCCCACAACCTCCTTCCCAACCCTCCCAACCTTAATCTCCAGCCTGCTCCTGCGTTTCCCCTACCAACCAGACTCTATTCTGCTCCTGCACGTATCTCCGCCTGGCCTCCCACCCCACTAGGCCTCCCAACCCTCAACCCACTCCTACACCCTCCCTCCAGTGGGGACAGTCCCCTGGCAGACTGGGCCCTGCATTCACCATGGCAGTCAGGGCACTGTGATCCAAGGCTAACCTGGGGGGCAGGAGGCTCCCAGCACCTACCGGCAGCTCCTGGCTTTGCCGCTGCACCTCGGCTTTGTGCAAAAGAGAGAGAAGCAGCCAGAGGCCCAATGCTCAGGCTCTGCCTCCTGAAAGACGCAGGGTAGGAGAGTTTACAAAGTGCTGAAGGCAAACCTCCCCGCTGCCACATGCACGTCCTGCCTCGTGATGCCCCAGCTGGCATTGTGCAGGTCTCGCTGAACCTTAGCAATGGTGCCAGGGGGACCAGGGTTTCCAGAGAAAACCCTGAAGCCCTGTGGAAGTGACAGGGGAGCAGCCCAACCCCTGCCCTCTGTCCCCGCCCATTGCCACACATCCCTACCCCCTCCCAGCTCCCCAGCCACCAGCTTCAGACACTGCCCCAATTTCCCCAGCTCCAAACCCCACTCACCCCCCACCTGCCAGCCCCAAGCAGCTCCCCGCCCCGCTTCAACCATCAGTTCCCCTTCCCCGCCCGGGCCCCTCGCCGCCCGCAGCGTGTCCGCCCCACGCGTGTCTGTGCCCCCCGAGCGCTGCTCGCACCGCTAGAACCGCCCCCGCGCGGAGCTCCAGGTCCCCGCCACGGCTCCACTGCGGGCGCAAAGGGCTGCCGGGCTGGGAGGGGGCGGAAGGGGCGGCTCCTCCCCGGGCTTGGCCCTGCCCCTGCGGGGGGTTGGGACACGCGGGGAATCTAGCCCGGGCGGAGTGTGTGTGGGGAGGGGGCACGGGGGCGGGGCACATGACAGTCTGCGGGGGTGAGGCGCTTGCTTGAATGAACAGCATTCCTCTGCCCTCTCCTATTTAAAATCGTGATTCGAGTGCTAAGGCCTCGTGGCTTTTAACTAGGGAGGCGTCAGCTGTTACTGCGTCTCCGAAGCGAGCTAAAGGCGCCTTCTAGGTCTGGACGCGGTTGGGCCTCCGCTGTGCCCGCGATGGTTTTTATTTCACAAGCCCGTGGGCCGGGCGAGGAGGGGGGGGGGGGTTGTATATCTGGCTCCCTCAGGGCAATGCATCTGGATGACGCTGGGTGGAGACCGGCACGAATGCTTGCAGGGAAAAGAGGCGTGAAAACAATTCCAAGGAAGTGACTGATTTAAAGGCACAGAGCAGCACAATTCCAGCGGGTCGCCATCCGCCCGGCCGGTGTCACATCGGCGCTGCGAGGAAGTTCTGTGCAGACACGCAGTTTAATAAGGACCCTTTTGATGCTACAGGCGTGTCCCTTCGCAGCTCAGCGAGGGCAGCGCTGCCGGGGCTAGGGAAGTAGAGGCCTGGTGCCTTAGGAGCACAGCCCCAGGAAGTGGAGACTAGCGTGTGCCATGGGGTTGTAGCGTCAGAAGCAGCTGATCGCCAAATGTGCTCCCGGTAGCAGTTACTGACACGTAACTGGTACGTCAGTTTTGGCTTATCTCAGTTTCTGCTACCCATGCAGGCCTCACTGGGCCAGAGGGGCCTTTCGCACCCTCTGGTCCAGGGGGAGCTAATCCACATGGATGGGGTTCACTTGATCAGACTTTGATACGCATGCACCTGTCACTGGTCCGGAGGGGCCTTTGTGACGTAGTGGGGGTGCTGTCTACTTTTGTAATCCTGTGTTTCTGCCTGGTTGTATTGTGTTATGTGTGATTCCTGTTGACTCACTCCAGATGTGTATTGGGCCCAGACTGAAAAGATAACTTTTTCCCAGGAATAGTGGTAGAAATGTAGCCGTGTTAGTCTGGTGCAGCTGAAACAAAAAACAGGACTGTGTAGCACTTTAAAGACTAACAAGATGGTTTATTAGGTAATGAGCTTTTGTGGGCCAGACCCACTTCCTCAGATCAAATAGTGGAAGAAAATTGTCACAACCATATATACCAAAGGATACAATTTAAAAAATGAACACATATGAAAAGGACAAATCACATTTCAGAACAGAAGCGGGATGGGGGGAAGGGGGGGAGGTAAATGTCTGTGAGCTAATGATATTAGAGGTGATAATTGGGGAAGCTATTTGTCCTTTTCATATGTGTTCATTTTTTGTAATTGTATGCTTTGGTATATATGGTTGTGACAATTTTCTTCCACTATTTGATCTGAGGAAGTGGGTCTGGCCCACAAAAGCTCATTACCTAATAAACCATCTTGTTAGTCTTTAAAGTGCTACACAGTCCTGTTTTTTTTTCCCCAGGAAGAGAGACAAAGGATTTAGGTGGGGGCTGTCACGAGGCTGGGAACTAGGACTGGGAGTTGGGGCAGTCTGTGCTGGGCAAGGATGAGTGCAGAGGCTTAGAGCAGGAAAGGGGGGCTGAAGGGCCTTCCTTTCCCCAAGAGGAATAAGGCTGTCTGCTCTTGGTGCCTGTACTAACATCGATCCTATGCTATGAGAACCAATAAAACCTTTTACTCTTCTGGCTGGCTGACAGTCATGTCTGGTTGCGGATAGGGATGCAGAGTCAAGGACCCTCTCCCCCCCCCACCTCCACCGACACGCTGTCAGAGCCTTTCACATCCTCTGGTCAAGGGGGAGCTAATACAGACAAATGGGATTTACTTTATGCATTGTACTCACTGCAAAATCAAGGACTCATATGTATTAAGGCAAATGCCTAGGATAAGGTATTATCCTTGGTTCACTCTATAAAAGATTTCGTACTGTCTTGTATGGACATGATTACAACTTTCTCAAATATATGCTGGATGTACGCACATTTGTCCTTATTAAACTTCATCCTATTTACCTCAGACCATTTCTCCAGTTTGTCCAGATCATTTTGAATTATGACCCTATCCGCCAAAGCAGTTGCAACCCAAGCGTAATTTCTATGCCAATATCTAAATCGTTGATGAAGATATTGAACAGAACCGGTCCCAAAACAGACCCCTGAGGAACCTCACTTGTTATATCTTTCCAGCAGGATTGTGAACCGTTAAAAAAATTCTCTCTGAGAACAGTTATCCAGCCAGTTATGCACCCACCTTATAGTAGCCCCATCTAAGTTGTATTTGCCTAGTTTATTGATAAGAATATCATGTGAGACTGTATCAAATGCCTTACTAAAGTCTCCCTAGTGGTCTCTCACCTTGGCTACGTTTACACTGGCATGATTTTCCGGAAATGCTTTTAGCGGAAAAGATTTTGAGACAGATTATCCTAATTTTGAATGAAGTTCAAAGGTCATTTCAACAATTAAGAATGCCTACGGTTGCTATAGGGAGATTTTATATGAAAAGAAGATGGCATCTTCAGTCCAAACCTCATTGGCTTCCTATTTTAAGAAGCCTCAGTCTGTTGAGAAAAGCACCCCAAAAACTAACTTAATCTCAACCAAGCTCCCCCAATCTAGCCCTCCACCTCTTGCAAGAAGATTAGATTTCGATGATTCAGATGACCCAGATACAGTTCCAGTCCCCTCCCCTTCTGCTTTTCTCCAATAACCATCTCCCTCTCCAAGTGAAGAAGATGAAGGAATTTTCTGTCCTTTATTTTCATACTGAATTTTGTTTTAAGTGAATAAATGTTTGTAAAGACATATATTTTACTTTTCCTCCATTTCCGTAGTCAATGTTGGTATTTTTAGGGTATGAAATGGGTTTCTGGGAACGGAACTGCCATTTATAACATTGCGCCTATGGGAAATAAGGGTTCATCTTATGACGGCTTGACTTACGGTGGTTCTTCAGGAACCAATTAGGTTGTAAGCGCGAAGGTCACCTGTACTTAAGGTTGTTACAAGGAGGAGGGAGATAAATTATTCTCCTTAACCTGTGAGGATACAACAAGAAACAATGGGCTGACGTTGCAGCGAGGGAGGTTTAGGTTAACTGTCAGGGTGGCTAAGCCCTGGGAATCAATTGCCTTGGGAAGGAACATTGCCCCGGAGTCTCCATGGAGCTGCCCTTCCGCTTATCTGGTCTCATGTTTCATGGACTGCAGCCTTTTTTTCTTACCCATGCTCAGCACCATCCCAAGCCTGCTGCACTTGCTTCCAAGAAACTGTGTCTCCTCTCGAGTGTAAATCAGCAAAGCATACCCTGTTGGCTCCTCCAATTCCTTGTCCCTCAGTCTGCACAGATGAAGGTTTCCCTTCAGTAATGGAGGCTTTTCCCTTTTCCTTCATCCTCACCTTGCAAAGTCCCTGGGAATCTTAAATGGTCAGGAGCAGAAAGTGCCACCCCACCTTTCCACAGTCACTTGCTCTGGATTGAAATTTAGAGAAATTGCAGGTCTTGCAAAAAGAACATGGAGATGCTGGGGATTGAACCCAGGGCCTCATACATGCAAAGCATGCGCTCTACCACTGAGCTACATCCCCTGCTATACAATGCTGCTGTTATGCTCTTCCAGAAACCAGCAGAATCTGGCACCCCTGTTTGTAGGCAATGTAAACAAAGTGTTTCATAGGCTGAGCATGGAATGCTGATGTGGCCCGTGGGCTGCAGGTAGCCCTCCCATGGGCTGGCATATATAGGGAGTTTGTGTCATCTGAGAAAGACTCTTCCTTCAGTTTCCCTCACTCCTCATTATGTTAGTTGGAAATGAGTATGGGAGAGAAACAGACCCTAATCTCTTTGCTGCAAATTTCCCCTCCCCCATACATCCTCTCTGTGGTTGCAGAATATAGGGAGCCCCGTGAGACGGGATGAGAGTTAGGGAGGGTGGCGGAATGGGGACAACTTGTAGGAGAGGGAAGATTTTCTCTTTTTCTTTCTCTCCACTTCTTTTCTTTCTCTGCCAGGATGGTGGCTTATATTTCAGACAGTTACTGAGAATGGAGGCGGTTTAAGAGCAGAAAGAGCCCATGAGCTCAGAAGTACCTGCTCCCTTCCTGAACTCCATCCCAGCTGGGATTTCCTAGATGGGAGGGATGCAGGGCTCTGGTTGGAGCTGGAGTTTGAGCATTTATACTGCAGTTAAATAGCCTGAGCCAGCCAGACACAAATTTTTAACTGGGGTTTTTAACTGCGGTGTAGTCGTAACCTGATCTTCAGTGCAGGGCTGTACCTGCAGCTCCAGCCCTTTAGGATGGTGCTATGTGGTTAATCTATCCAGTTCATGTTGGGGAAAAGGTCTCTGTGTGTGTTAGATTGGGAGGAGGGTGTCCAGAAATCAACCCGCACCAGTCTCTTTCCTCTGGGACTGTGGTGGGCATCCTGCAGTCCACAGATGGCATGCGGCCCATCAGAGTTCTCTGTGTGGCCCATAAGACACATTGACCATTGCCCATGCACAGGGTTGCCAGATTCCGCTGGACTCCATCCATGTCGTTTTTTTTCCTGCCGGTATCACTAAAGTGACATTCACATAAAGCAGGGGTGTGAGAAGTGATTCTCCTTCTGCATCCAGTCAAACTGCTGCTAGGGTTTGATGGGAACAAACTGCAAACTCTAGGCACTCAGGCACAGTTAGCAAAACTCTCTACAGGGAGACCATCTGGGTTATGACAACCTTGTGGCCCACTGAGATGAAGGAGGGCCACTCACGCACCTAAATTGCGAATCACTTGCTTTGGGATTTCCTTAGGAAATCTGAAGCAGGGAACAAAAGCAACTGTCCTCTCCAAGGCTTGAACTCAACACCTTTAAATTATGAGACTGATATGCTGCCAACTGCACTAAGAAGGCTTCTTAAGTGAAGGAGTCATGC